CCCAGAATACATGGCAATTTTTCAGAATTTATAGAAAGTAGTATATTATTGATGTGACATAAATTGAAGCTGATTAAGATCAGATTTGGGCGTAAACATGAGCGAAATTAGACGTGAGTTATCATCAAAGCTAACCTGTTCTACAGTTATATTGGCCCCAACCATCATCTGCAGCATTCCCAATAATTCGCTAGTTGATATTTTTTCATCCATATCCAGGTCATACATTCCAAAGAGGAAACGTAGCTTTGCTTCTCGATTGTTATATTCAGTGGAATTGGTTGCGCGAACTTTTCTGAAGCATGCCAACTTCCTTACATATTGCCTGAAGTTAAGCTCTTCTTGACTTAAAAAAGTGGAATAAATAAAAAGCGTGCTTAAGGAAAACTATATGAAAAAACACAAAAACACCAATAGCAAGTGCACTCACCTATCTTTAAAAAACTCATTAACAATTCTATCCCCAAGGGGATTTATTGCCAATTCTGGAATAAGTAAAAAATCGTGTCTCCTGAAAAAATTAAAAAACATGATGTGAAATTTATTACGTTGGACTAAATGCAAATAGCAAATAAGACACAAAAGAATAGACAAAAAGCAAAAAGAAATATGCTTAGATAACTCCGATTATCACCTTAAATAGCCAACGTTACACTTATCAAGAGAAGCAAATCTGTTATAAAGCCGGTAAATCTGCTTAGGAGAAACTAATGAGTTTACATAGGTCAAAACAAAAGGTACATCCAGTTTCTCTAGATATTTCATCTACTTCTGCTTCATCTAGGCATTTCGAAGGCCCAGAACCCATTCTGATTGGATGCTCTAATGTGGAGCAATAACATATAGCGATCACGAGGAGAGATATCAGAGGTAAAGAGCAGACGAAGTGCCCGGGTTTATGATAGATTACGGCCAACGTAGTATTTATCACGTTATTTAAAAAAATTTAATTTTATTTAGTTAAGAAATATTACTTTTTTGCATTAACGAAAAATCAAAATACATCTTAATTTAGACGTTAGCTTCGAGTACTTCTTCATGGGTCGATACGTGAATCAGGCTTGTTCGGCGCTTGAAGTGGGCGAATTATTCCAGATTTTTTATATTAGAGCTATTTTAGACAAGTGGGGCTTTGCGCCAAATAATAAAGACTTTAAAGCGATGTTACTATGTCTTCTAATACCATTATGTCTAAATAACAGGAATATTTAATTCAAGAAATCAGAGCTTTGTTAACACGGCGAGCTGGCTCTAAGCTGACTGTTAAAGTTTTCCACAACACCATTTGCTTATGGGTAATATGCATAGGCGTGGATCTCTTTCATTAACTGTAGCCTAGAAAGGTCGATTGAGGGCTAGGGCTCAGGGTACCTACCTATTTCCCTTGTGCCAGTTATTCACTCACCATTATTGGAATGTTTGCGTGCTTCGATTATCTCAGTCAAATTTGCTTCTCAAGTGTCTTGAGCTGGTAACCGATGTGTAAGTATGAGTTGCTACTGACTATTCTGTGAAATATGCATATAACGAAAATTTCGAGGAGAAGTTGACCGAATTTCTTTGATGTCAGCCAAAGTACATCAGTCAGGATTTTTCCTGCCTGTAGACTTTTTTCCTTCTGATAGTCCTCACAGAGCCTGGTCAATTTATAAAAGTTTTCGTTTAGAAGTAGCGACCTGCATTAAGCTGTTAAAATCTCGAATTAATATATGGCTTGGAATTATATCCCTCATGGGATGTTGGATTAAG